AGACGATAGGAAAAATGGGGGTGTGTGACGTTCGCAGTTTGACTTCGGCTACCAACATTTATTGCAGGTCTCTGTTTCCCATTTCCTGTCCACCTCTCTGTGACACACCTAATAAATAAAAACCAAAACACACCCCCAGCCCCCAAAAATATTAAAAGAGAAAAATAGAATAGAATGAAATAGAATCTTTATTGTCATTGTACACAGTACAACGAAATTGGGTGCAAACCTCAGGTGTAGAGAAAAATGTGTCAGTATCAAAAACAAAAAATTATAAACCACATAAAAATCACACTTATTGCACATTGACAGACATAAACTGCGAAGGTCCATCTCCATATTGACAGGAATAAAATAATTATGTTAAATATGTTAAAAAGCTACAAAACATTGTAGGGTACAGTATAATGCCACATATTTACTAAGTAATGATAATGACATACTACATATAAGCTGAAGACAGTGTATTGTGAGGTGTGGTACAGTGTTGCCCACTTATGAGTTGTTCAGTGCAATTATTGCTTTTGGGTAGAAGCTGTTTTTTAATCTGTTTGTCCGTGCCTTGAGACACCTGAAACGTCTGCCTGAAGGTAGCATTTCCATCAGATGATGCCCAGGGTGGGACGAATCCTCCCAGATCTTTTGGTGGCAAACCAGACACAAATGCAATAGGTCAAAATGCTCTCTATGGAGCACCGGTAAAAAGACACAAGCAATTTCTGTGTGAATTGGTGCTTCCTGAGAACCCTCAGAAAGTAGAGTCTCTGCTGTGCCTTCTTAACTAGCTCCTTAGTGTTTGCTGTCCAGGTAATGTCTTCCTTTATATAAACTCCCAGACACTTGAAGACTGTCACCCTCTCCACATAGTCCCCATTTATGAGCAGGGGCTGGATAGCTGTTTTATTCTTCCTGAAGTCTATAATCAGTTCCTTGGTCTTGGTGGTATTAAGAGCCAGGTTGTTATCTTTGCACCATTTGAATAGCTGCTGTACCTCATCCTGGTAGGCCGACTCATCCCCCTCAGAGATTAGCCCTATCACTGTCGTGTCATCAGCAAACTTGATGATGGTGTTGCTGGAGTGGGTAGGATTACAGTCATGTGTGTACAGGATGTAGAGTAGGGGACTCAGTACACAACCCTGGGGGGATCCTGTATTGAGGTTAAGAGCTGAGGAGGTATGTGGGCCTACTCTGACTTTCTGGGTTCGGTCTGAGAGGAAATCCTTAACCCAGAGGCATGTAGAGTGGGGTAGGCCAAGGTCTACTAGTTTGGCCACCAATCTATGGGGAAGCATGGAGTTGAAAGCAGAGCTAAAATCTACAAAAAGTAGTCTTGCATAGCTACCCTGCTGCTCCAGGTGAGTCAGAGCATTGGCCAGAGCATCCTCCGTAGACCTATTTGCTCAATAGGTGAACTGATGAGTGTCCAATGTTGGTGGTAAGCAGGAGAGAATGTGTTTTCTCACGAATTTCTCAAAGCACTTCATGATGACTGGTGTAAGTGCCACTGGACGGTAGTCATTCAAGCTCTGGATTGTGGGCTGTTTCGGAATAGGGACCATGGTCGAGGATTTCAAGCAGGGAGGTACAGTAGTCTGAGACAGAGACCGGTTGAAGATCAGGGTGAAGATTTTAGCCAGCTGGTCTGCACAGTCCCTCAGCACTCGACCTGATACGTCGTCTGGTCCCGTAGCTTTACTTGGTAGAAAAATGGTAGAAAAGGTGGAGGTGTAGCAACACTTTGCAAAATGGGCTTAGATATAATTTAATTACAGTAATATAGGTAAAGGACAAGAGTCAACAGCAGTCAAGATTTGTACAGGGGAGCATGATATTGCCAAAAAGTATTCACTCACCCATCCAAATCATTGAATTCAGGTGTTCCAGTCACTTCCATGGTTACAGGTGTATATAATCAAGCACCCTGGCATGCAGACCGCTTCTACAAACATTTGTGAAAGAATGGGTCGCTCTCAGGAGCTCAGTGAACTCCAGCGTGGTACCGTGATAGGATGCCACCTGTGCAATAAGTCCAGTCATGAAATTTCCTCGCTACAAAATATTCCACAGTTAACTGTTAGTGGTATTATAACAAAATGGAAGCGATTGGGAATGACAGCAACTCAAGCCACGAAGTGGTAGGCCAAGTAAAATCACAGAGCGGGGTCAGCGACCTGAGATGCATAGTGTACAGAGGTCGCCAACTTTCTGCAGAGTCAATAGGTACAGACCTCCAAACTTCATGTGGCCTTCAGATTAGTTCAAGAACAGTGCGTAGAGAGCTTCATGGAATGGGGTTCCATGGTCAAGCAGCTGCATCCAAGCCTTACATCACCAAGTGCAATGCAAAGCATCAGATGTAGTGGTGTAAAACGCGCTGCCACTGGACTCTAGAGCAGTGGAGACATGTTCTCTGGAGTGATGAATCATACTTCTCTGTCTGGCAATCCCATGGACATGTCTGGGTTTGGCAGTTGTCAGGAGAGCGGTACTTGTCTGACTGCACTGTGCCAAGTATCAAGTTTGGTGGAGGAGGGGTTATGACGTGGGGTTGTTTTTCAGGAGCTGGGCTTGGAGTTCCAGTGAAAGGAACTCAATGTCTCAGCATACAAAGACATTTTGGACAATTTCATGCTCCCAACTTGTATTAATGATGGTACGGGCACTAGATAAAATATTACACACAACACAAAGTGTCATCGATCTAACAATAAAGTGAACTAGCAGGAATCGATCATGGGAAGCACTAAGCAAGTCACCAGTGGGCAGTGATCATTACCTCATAAGAATCCAGACAGGAATAGAAGTAAACCAAGATGGCAAAAAAAAAAAAAGAACTCCAAGATAAAAATTTGACTGAGCTAATTGGAATGTATTCCAAGTGGTAAGTGAGATTAGATGTGAAAAACTTATTAGGGATGATATAACAGATGTGAAAATATTTAATAAAAAAATGGTTGCAGCCATCATAAAAAAGTAGAGGAAATTATTCTAAAGAGTGTAGAGGACAGAATTAAAAAGTGTGCTGTGGTGGAATGAAAAGCTGTTAGGAGCAGAAATAAAACATTTAGACAGTTAAAGGAACATTGTACAGTAGAACCCTATGCTGTGGAAAAAGCTTATGGTAATAAGCTAGGGGAATTTATGCTTAGTACATACCTATGTTCACACTTGTTCCTATTCATACTTCAAATCAATGGTCTGCCTTCTATCTGTGTACATGGGTAATTTCCAAGCATTGTGGCACATGCAGAGTTGGGGCCTTTGCTATATGGACCGTCCATGCAGACAAAAATTTTTGGCCTGCACACAGCCATCCACAAAGAGTATGCTTGGACCATCATGGACCTGGGAAGATGACAAAAATTATGTTACTCGACCTTAGAGGACAGACAGGGAGCCATATGGAGTTCCAAAACTGCCATAATCAAATATAAATGACAAAGGAAATAAATGTAATCATTTAGGAAATAAATGTAACTGCCATGGAAATAAATGTAATCATTTAGGAAATAAATGTAAACTGCCATAATCAAATATAAATGACAAAGGAAATAAATGTAATCATTTAGGAAATAAATGTAATCATTTGCTTTTCCTTTTCTCAAACGGTTTTTCTTTTTCTTTTTCGCTGAGTGTAGGCAAATGAGGGGGCGTGTCTTAATTGTGTAACTGCACAGTCATTGGTCAATCTGTGAAGGGTTTCCTGATCGATTCTTCTTGTCTAGCCCCTGGGTGAATGCTACAGCAATGCATCACGGCCTAGCTAGCATTAGCAGTGGATCTTCGACAGATAGCAAACAACTTAAGGCATCTTGCGGACAATTCAGAAAGTTTTACACCAGACCTCATGGTGTTTCAAATTGATTTGATTCGGGAAAACTTGTTCAGTTTATCTGACAATACGGGCAGAGACATAGACACGGTAGTTTTTGACCTACTGAATGAAGCTTCCCAGAGACTGAGCCTTGAATTCGAACGGAGTTCTGCGAGCAGTGTGGCTGAGCTTGGGCGCCCGGCATTCAACATATCTTTGGAAGCCCTGCAGGATTATGTCTTAGCCGGTGTAACAGTTCGTGATATTGCTCATCTGCTTGGAGTTGGTGAAAGAACTATCTACCGTCGAATGGCCCAGTATGGCATAAGGTAGGAGATAACACATTAACAGGCCTAACATAACTGGACTGTGTTTGTATGCAGCTAAGCTAACTGTGAAATGGGTTGCGAGCAGGCAAAGACCCATTTACAATAATTATATATGTTGTTGGAAATAAGCTATAAAGCTCCTTTAA